TCATATCTATTAATATAATTGTTAACAGCGAGCGACGAAGAAGAAGATGCAATCGAACGAAAAGAGAGTGAAGAACAAGAAAGAAAAACTCATTACATGAAAAAGAGGAACTTTTGGCAGAGACGTAAATTGCTCACCTCCATTCATACAGTCACCTACTAACATTTACATATCGAAGTACTTATCTATTCGGATGTTTCTTATCGTCCTATCACTTGCCCGCGAGGGACAGTGTTAATCTCGACTCAAATCGTCAAGGTACGGATGGCTATCAAATGTAAAGCGCTAACTGGAAATTGCAGCAAACCTCATATGCATAATATGTCGAAGTCTCTGCTTCCTGTATCCTTTCTCTCTCTCTCTCTATATATATATATATATATATATATATATATATATATATATACGTTTCATTAAATAATATAGACAAGTGTTGTCAATTTATTTTATGTAAATTCTTTTCATAACGTCTGATAAGTTTAATAACATTATCATTGAACGAAGAAAGAAATTCACAATATTGATCCATATTGTTTAATACAATCTAAGCTTTCGGCTTACATAATGATGTCAATTACAACATATTAAGCAATATACGGACAAGACAGTGATGATAGTCTGTCATTGTTTACATAGATTATTTCTAAGCAACGATAAACACGCGCATATATGTGTTGTAGCCATGTTAGGGCCAGAAATAAAGACACAAAGAGAGGAATAGAGTTAAACAAATATATTAACAGAAACAGTAATACAAACGAGAGTGTTACAGTAAGAATGTTCGGTCCGACTTTCAGAGCTGACTGCTGAGAACTTCCCTCTCCAAAAGGCAGTACCTGATCCTATTTATAGCTGGTAGAGTCCATGCGTGCGTTGGTGAATTACCATAACAATAATATATATATATATATATATATATATATATATATATATATATATATATATATATATAATATCGTAGACCTAAGAGCCTAAAAGAAATCATAGGCAGTAACCACATTTCAGGGGACAAGGTAATCCGTAATAAACTAAGAACAAAAACAACAGGATTTTCCCAACCATGTAACAACATGTTGCAACCATATTAAACACACGAATTCACTCATTAGCTCAATCACTAAATCTACTTTCAAAACCTACTACGACTCTAACTGGAGAAGTCATAACATAATTTACCCCCTAGAATGCACACTATGCCAGAAACAATATGTAGAAAACTCTGAATGACCCTTTCACTACAGAATTAATAATTATTGCAATCGAATTAAGTCGATTCCCCATGAAAAATTATTACCTGTAGAACAACATTTTCGTCTGGAAAAACACGATTTCAAAACCCATGCCAAATTCACTATAATTGAGAGAATAGAAAAGTTCAGAGCAGATAACATTAGAAAGATTTTAGATTCCCATGAAAATAAGTGGATACAACGTCTAAAAACACAATATCCAGCCGGGTTAAACCATAAATTTAACAATATAGATAGTACTAATATATAACTCAACAAATCAAAACCTACCCACATTTCTCACCCACGCAAGACAGACATGCATACGGAGGTGTGGAGGCCTCACACTTATACACCCACCCACACGGATATACACACTTACAAACATCATACTCACTCACTCCCTAATGAGCCAAATGATAACACACACCCACAGCAATACACACGCTTACACATATCATACTCACTCACTCCCTAAGAACCAAATAACACACACACAAACACTAAACAGAGACACATCCCCTTTCCAGGACCAATAAAACTGTCAAACTGACCACGGGAATTCAGAGAAGCATAGATCCATTCAGCTTTTATCTCAAATAACAACTTAAAAGAGTCTGTTTGACCAACACAAGAAATGTTAAAAGATTCATGTAAAAAAGTTAAAAAAAAAAACAAAAAAAAAACAAATGAAAACTACAGACAAAAGTTCATTTTCTCCAGCAAGGCATTCACTTCTGTAGTTTACTGCTACCAGCAAGCAGAAATATTTCTCCTCCCGATGATGGCCATTTCGGTCGAAACTAGCCAAGGAATCTAAATGAAATAATAATAAAAAACGAAAGAATATTAATCAAAAAACCCAGTGTGTCTGAAGATTTTAATTTTTTAATATTTTTTTATTGTTCAAAAAAAAAATATATATATATATATATATATATATATATATATATATATATATATATAGAGAGAGAGAGAGAGAGAGAGAGAGAGAGAGAGAGAGAGAATTACGACAAATTGGAAAGTTTTTGTGATACGTTTCCTCCTTTAGTATTTCATCGGTTGCGGCTTTGTTGATGGTGATCTGTGTCGTTCTGTGTGTCATTGTGTTCAGAAGAGGTTCGAGGAATATTGCAATGTTGAAAGATGACATTTTGACCCTTTAAGAGATGAAACTGTCATATAAAATGTAAATAAAGTGTTAAACAAATGTGCATAAACAATTTGAAAAAAATATGATTGTAACAAATAAATATAATTGTAATAAAATGTTTTTTTTTTAAAAAAAAAATGTAAAGTGCATATTAAGTGTAAGCCTAATTTTGGCCCATCTTATATATAATATTGAATCCTGGTAGGACTTCTAATTCTCTCAGGATCGCCTCGCTACAAAGGTTGAATAATTCCTGTGAGAAGATATGACATTGCCTTAAGCTCCTTTTTATTGTTGTGTGTATACGGAATACCCCTCGTGTTCTTACGCAGGCCGTTTTCTCCCAGTATAAGACTTATGGATTATTCTAATATGTCTCCCAATTAAATCAAGCTTACCTAGCACCTCAAACGTTTCTCTGTATCGTCCATTTTCAAACGCTTTTGCATAATCTATAAAACATAGGCGTCCATCTTTCTACATTTGTATTTATCTTTTTGATATCATTCTGAACATAAATATAGCATTCCTTGTTCCAGTGACATTGTTTTCTTTCATTTCCAACTTCTGATACCATCTTTATTCATTAGAATTCGGAATGATAAGTTTAATTACGTGTCTAACTAGTCTGATTCTCCGATATAGCGATCATTCATTTGCCTCAGAAAGTGCTATGAACATGGATGTACTGACGTATATCACCATTGTCATATATTTCATTTAATATCTCTGTATTTTTTAACGTCGAAATCAACTAATTCTATGAGCATCACTATTATAATCTCTCCGGACCTGCTGCTTTTTTTTCTAAAAAAAAAAATACGAAGAAAAAAAATGATATTATTTTTCAGACAATTCAACCGAGGCAAGGTGATAAAGTCTCTTAGACGCAAGAGGCTACAGGAAGTGAAAACAAATGAACATACATTAGAAGGAACCGTAAACACAATTCTAAACAGGAAACAATATCTGTTTTATCTGTAACGTTAAATTACGCCATTAGCATATCCAATATTGTGCGAACGTTAAAATATCCCCTTTTATTTACTGAGATGATGTTAATTTTGACCCACGGGTTACTGTATACGACAATCAGTGAGTATCGAACGCACCGCTCAGTAGTAATTTTTAACCAAAGTAACCTCGCTAACCACTACTTTTTCATATAATTGTTAGTGTTAGCATAGGAATTACATCCTATATATATATATATATATATATATATATATATATATATATATATCATCAAATAAGATCCTATCAGAAGGTTTCTTTGATAAACAATCATTATAAATGCAAATACCGCCAAAATACTTGCGGACGTAGATGTAGACCTACCATGTGATATTTTCAGAATATTTAGAAAATAACAATAAAAAGTCCTTCCATCGCTCCCACAAATTCCCCCACCCCCCCAAAAAAGATTTTTGCGAGCCAGTGTTAAATCATTTTCTAATCAATGTAAACATTGTATTAAAAAAAAAAAAATCATGCGTCTATGTGAAATTAGAACTTGAATGCCCTTACGGATATAAAAAAAATAGAAGCATACTTCTTTTCAAGGCTCGAACCGATTTGGAAGTCCAGTTTGATCTGCACGTGCGTACCCCCCCTCACTCACACACTCACCCATACGCATGTTCACAATCTAAAAGACAGCTAGCAGTCGCCAACCAAGGACTTATCCACGCATACAATAGAAGGCAAACGCCAGCAACCGCTTACTAAGCATTTGTCTACGAACTCACAAACACATTAGGTTGACCGTCATAAAGTAAATCTTATCCACACATCTTACACAGTACTAAGAACATTTCATTACTTTATAAAACAAACTTCACTGCAAGGAAAATTGATCATTTTATTGCTATTGTATATTTCTGAAAATAATATATAAATGTTATTTCAGCTGTCTACTTTTTCTTCAGAAAATAACTTTTTATATATTTCACTTATAAGATGTGTTGTTAAACGTTTCGAATCCCGACATCCGGATAGAAACTCAAACCTGGGTACACATGTCCCCAACACTAGCATAATGTTAAATTATTCATGTCACGCTTTAGTGACGTTGTGAAAAAAGAAACATTCTGTATTTACGAAAGCATTTCTATAGTTTTTTTTCTTTAATTCCTTTTATTTTGTCGCAATGAAAGCTTTCGAGGTTTCTAAATAATTTTAAGGTTCAGCAAAGCAACGAGATGTCTCCTGCCAACCAGAGACAAACTAAATAACGACTCTACTTAATCATTGTGTTAACGACGGCACATTTGCAAAAAATACAGATGCCAATGTCCGAATACGCTGGGATATGTTTTACTTCATGGTACTCTGTGAAAAGCAGTTACCTCGAAGCTACCCATGTTGCGTAGGAAGATCAACAGATATTTGTGCGGATGAGTAGCACAAGACACCGAGTTCTTATCCAAAGATCGTTGAACTCTCGACTGAAAGGTAAAATCTGTCTTCCAACATATTGATGTTTAGTGGAGCAGATGTTTCTGCTAGGAAAGGTCAGGAGATTGACTGTGGCCGCTGAACGGATAAAAGTTTCTGTACCACAGTTGGCGTATTATAACTGAATAGTTTGAAGGCTAAAGAATAAAAAGGGCAGTAAGATGTTACCTCTCAGCAGCTATCTAAATCTTTTCACATCTATCTATCTATCTATCTATCTATCTATCTATCTATCGCTTTTTTCTTATAAATGTTCTCGGCCCGACCTACTTTTCAAAATCCGATCATATTTTTTTAATTTTATTTCATGAGTTTCTACCGGATCATTTTGTTCATTATCTTTCTAATTTAAAAAAATTCTTCCTTCTTTACATCTATACTCTCTCTCTCTCTCTCTCCCCCCTCTCTCTTTTTTATATATATATATATATATATATATAAATATAAATAAAAAAGAAAGAACAGTAAGATATAAAATCCGGTGTTATTATAGATATTTTATTTTACAAAATAGTGCTCAATGTAAATTTACAGAGCATTAATATTATAAATTAATTGATTTAAAATATGGTTAAACAGTTCAACCATTTTGTAAAAATTAATTTTATTTTTTGCAAATAAATTAAAAAAATTAGTTCTATTTCATCTTCTGAATTTTTAACTTTTAAAATTTACTGGTTTTAAATACACAGCTAAAATCACGTTTCCATGGTTACAGAATATTCTACTCAAATTGAACACGGATGTCTAGATTTTCCTTATTGACAGTATCATGTATCAGTTATTAGCTACATTTTGGTAAGGGGTGAGGATGTATTTTACACTGAAACCTGACGTCGGTTGAATGGATGTCGTCTGAATTTAAAAAAAAAAAAAAAAAAAAAATTGTTCGGTAAAAATTTTCAACGTCATCTTTTAAAATTAAAATTTTTTTTTTTTATAATACTTTTATTTAACTACGATTTGAAATATTTTCCTTTTTTTTTTATTTTACTATATTTTTTTAAGAACAGTTAAATGTATTAGAATCCATTATATTATGTAGGATTATTTTAACATTAAGTTTAAGTATGTATATGAGGTTACATTTTTTTTTTTTTTTTTTTTTTTTTGTATATGACGATGACAGCAGAAATTTCTTAATTTCCTTGATTCAGTAAACTTTTCTTTTTATATAAACCTATTATTATAATATTTCATGTAAGTACTGAGTTTATTGGGTCATTCAAAAGCTTACATGTTATGGTATTTCATATTAATTTTATTTTACTATAGGTGTTTTTTTTTGATTTTTTTTAATGTGTAGTATTATTTAAAAGAAATTTAGGTTAGAATTCATTTAATTTCTACAATTTTAATTACAAATTCAAAATTACAACTTTAAAATTTTAAAATATTTTTTCATTGTTTAGTTTTAATAGACTATATTTTTTTATAACAGAAGGAAAATTACTCATATTATTTTTCCATATCAAAGTATATATTTATTTTATTTATTTATTTATTTATTTATTTTTTTTTTTTTTTTTCTTTCTTCTCTTATTTATAAGTCATTTCAGATTTAGTCATTCTCAGATTTTAGCTGTATATTTAAAACCCGGTAAATTTTAAAAGTTTCAAAATTCGCTAGAACTAATGCTTTTAATTTATTTGCAAAAATAAAATTATTCTATTTTTGAAACATGGTTGGAACTGTAGCGAAAATAACCATATTTTTTAAATCAATTAATTTATAATATATATATATATTATATCTTATATATCTTTCTTTCTTTCTTTCATTCAGTCTCTTTCTTTTTTTCTTTCCTCTTTTCTTAATCTTTCTTAATCTTTTCAATTTTCTCTCTATCCTTCTTTCCTAGTTTATTAGTTTTATTCTTTCTTTCTTTACTTCCTTTCTTTCTTCCATTCTCTCTCTCGTTCGTTCATTCATTCATTCTTAATTTCTTCATTTCTTCATTTCATTCTTTCTCTCTCAATCTTCGCATTTTTCAATTTCATCTGTATTCCTTTCTAAATTTATTCTATATTATTCTTTCTTTCTTTCTTTCTTTCTTTCTTTCTTTCTTTCTTTCTTTCTCAGCCTGTCCACCGATCTATCGCAATCTTTTTTCTCCATTACTATCTTCCTTTCATTGTTCCCACTCAATTTGTATACACAACTATCACATTTTCTTTCTTTCTTTCTTTCTTTCTTTCTTTCTTTCTTTCTTTCTTTCTTTCTTTCTTTCTTTCTTCTCTCCGTCCTTTTGTTCTCCTCCTCTGATATTACAATTCTTTCTTTCTTTCTTTCTTTCTTTCTTTCTTTCTTTCTTTCTTTCTTTCTTTCTTCTCTCCGTCCTTTTGTTCTCCTCCTCTGATATTACAATTCTTTCTTTCTTTCTTTCTTTCTTTCTTTCTTTCTTTCTTTCTTTCTTTCTTTCTTTCTTTCTTTCTTTCTCAGCCTGTCCACCGATCTATCGCAATCTTTTTTCTCCATTACTATCTTCCTTTCATTGTTCCCACTCAATTTGTATACACAACTATCACATTTTCTTTCTTTCTTTCTTTCTTTCTTTCTTTCTTTCTTTCTTTCTTTCTTTCTTTCTTCTCTCCGTCCTTTTGTTCTCCTCCTCTGATATTACAATTCTTTTCTTTCTTTCTTTCTTTCTTTTTTTCTTCTCCGTCCTTTTTGTTCTTTCTGATATTACAATTCTTTTCTTTCTTTCTTTCTTTCTTTCTTTCTTTCTTTCTTTTCCGTCCTTTTTTGTTCTATCCAATCTTTTTCTCCATTACTATCTTCCTTTCATTGTTCACTCAATTTTTACTTTCATTTTCTTTCTTTCTTTCTTTCTTTCTTTCTTTCTTTCTTTCTTTCTTTCTTTCTTTCTTTCTCAGCCTTTTGTTCTCCTCCTCTGATATTCGCAAATTTTTTTCTTTCCTTTCTTTCTTTCTTCTTTCTTTCTTTTTTTTCTTTTTCTTCTCCGTCCTTTTGTTTCTCCTCCTCTGATATTACAATTCTTTCTTTCTTTTTTCTTTCTTTCTTTCTTTCTTTCTTTCTTTCTTTCTTTCTTCAGCCTGTTCTTCGCAATCTTTTTTTCTCCATTACTATCTTCCTTTCATTGTTTTCAATTTTATTTATTTTCTTTTCTTTCTTTTTTTCTTTCTTTCTTTCTTTCTTTCTTTCTTTCTTTTGCCCAGTCCGTTCATTTATTTATCTCTCTTATTTCTGTTATCTTTTTTTTGCCCATCTATTCATCTATCTATCTATCTATCTATCTATCTATCTATCTATTAGTCAGTTCATATCTAAGTTTATCCATATCAATATCTCAGTAAAAGTGCTTTCCCATTTTCTCACGGTGCAGTAGTCTATCCCTAAATCTTTACATACTTTTGTCAGCCTGTTCTCTATCTATCTAGAACAAGAGAGAGAAACAAGTCGAGTCAGGGAATCGGACCGCCAGAGAGACATATAATACAAGCAAAAGAGAAAAGAAAGAAAGAAAGAATGAATGAGTAAGAAGTAACGTTTGAGAGTAAACAAGAACAAATATAATTGAGAGAGGGAGATAGGGAGAGATGAGTAGAAGCGTGAGAATACATATAGATAAACAGAGGAGGATAGAGAGTCAGTGATAAAATAAACAAATATAAAGGAGTGAGTGAGGTAGATAGAGAGATCGATATAAATAGAGAGATAGACAGAGGTGAGGATAGGGTGTCGCCATGATGAAAAGCTGGAGAGTATCAGCTCTAGCAATAATAACGTCAAGACAGTGTGGAAGAAATAAATTTAATGAATGCTAAAAAGAAACAAAAAAAAGAGACAAGTGTGATGAAGAATGAGGTTGTAGGAAGTAAAATGGCGGATTTGGTTGTACCATTCCCTTAATAAAATATTCATTTCCGTTTTTCGCAATATATAAAGTTATAAATTCCTTGTAAATGACACGATTTAGAAATGGGTCGTTATCGCTGCCAGTAAACCATGTTGAGTACCATCCAAAAAAATATGGTTCCTATTAATTCCTTTGAATGTCCTGGGTATGACGATAAACTACATCCTCGTCCTGGGTAAGACGATAAAGTACGTCTCTCACAGCAAGACCTCCGATCAGGAGGTTTTGAGGAGCGTGGAACTACCTCTTAATTGCTGGTGTTCCCAGGTTCATCCTGACTCGGGGTGGTAGCAGCTGTTAGGTTCAAAGCTATGGGAAAATAGTTAACCCCTAAACTGGGGTCAAAACTCCATGAAAGTGTAAAAATAGGTTTTAATACAAGAAATATATTTTTTGTAAAAATTAATACCAGCAATAAATTTTTGAAGTAAATTATTACCAGCAATACATTTTTGAAAAAAATATTACCAGCAATAGATATTTGAAGAAAAAAAATATTACCAGGAGTACATTTTTGGAAAAAAAAATATTACCAACAATAAAAAAAATTGTCGGCATTAAATAAGCCATTGAGGTTCATATGCCATAAGAAACAAACAAAAAACAATAATTCCTTTCAAAATTCTAATCGGCACTAGTCAGAATAAAAATTGCAATATCAGCTGAAAGCGCCCACTTTCTTGTTTTAAAACTATTTTCTCAATTGTTTTTATGACGTCCGTGTGTCTTTTCTCTGGTTCGCTTTTGATATCATCTGTAAGAGCAAATCTTCGGAAGACATTCTATTGTTGACTGATCAGCATTTCTTTCTCTAAATACAAAAGTGGTGTTTCTGTCTACTGCCACGACAATGCATTACATTTTAGAACAATACAAAATGACTTGTTTACTATGGGCACACCATTCGAGAATTGAGATACTAACAGAATAACATCTCGAATTACTTCTTCATTTACTTAGGAATGTTGACGATCGTAGCTCTTCTCTACTTCTAATACTATTTTAGTCTGAACGGCCCCACTTTGTTCTCGATCTGTCATCCTTCCTCCGAGTATATTTAGGTAGGTAACTTGCTGTTTTCCTACTAATAGGTCACATTTAAAAACAATGCAAAATTAATTGTTTATTATGGACACACTATTTGAAAAATGGGATACTAATAGATAATATCTTCTTTTTTAATACAGTGTAACCCGGATATAAGAGAAACCCGGCTATAAGAGAGATTTTCTCTGGTCCCAAATTAGAGCCTGTGTTAATGTATATAAAATAGACCAAAC